CCCCAAAACCCCAAAACCCCAAAACCCCAAGATATTTGATTTAATGAAAAATAGAATTTAAAATTTATGAAATATGATCTAATGAGCTGGTAAAGATTAATTAGATATCAAAAGTCTTCTATCTCTAAATCAACCTTATTTACACAATCATCACAGTAATTTTTTCCAGGAATATCTCTATCCTTAAAAATTAAGTATAATCTTGGTAAAACTTTCTTACAACCGTTGCCGTTACAATTTATTTTTTCAGCATTATATGCCCTATAACAAGCCAAGCAGATAAATTTCTTATATTGAAGTATACCAAGAAACTCTGCTTCATTTCCTTTAGTAATTTCTTTATTATCTATTCTACATTTGAAGCATTCAAATCTAACACCTTTTTTATAGCAATCAAGACAAATCTCCATAATTAATTCTTAATTCTTCCCATTAATCTTAGATTTTCTCTTAATTGTGTCTTTTTTCTTAATAAAACATTCTTTGTTGCTACAATTTTCATTAACACAAATAAAATCGATTATTTTAAGACAGTCACTGCAGTATTCAGGTTTGCCTTGGTTTAAAAATGATCTAATAAAAGTATTGAATGACGTTTCAATTTCACAATTGTTACATTTCATAAGTTCATAATTAGTTTTATCTTTAGCTTATAAATGGCATTTACTGCAAAGTAATAGATCAAAGTCTGGTAAGTCTGTTTTCTATTCTTTGATGAGATTCTTGAAATCTTTTCTGTCTATTTCATCAAATCCCATGCAAAGTTCACAATAATATTTCAGCTTATCATTGAATTTTACTTCTTCTTCTTCTATTACTTCTGATTTTTTTGTTTGATTAGCAGGATTTATTAGACCTGCAGAACGCCCATTTTAGAAATTGTATCTTATATGATCAATTTCCATGATTTTGCAGAGATCTGTACATTAAGCATGCTAATCTTTGAAGTATGCTAAAAATCCAGTTTATCTGAAATTAAGTCCATCTTCTAGCATAAATGGTCGTTTATTAAAGGTGTGAATTGCTGGATCAGAAAGATTGTTTTCAACTCCTTATAGGTCTGTTATAATTAGTTCTTTATCACTTGCTACGTAGCTGAAATGTGTGAATAATGAGAATTTTTAGGATGAGATATTGAAGAGATTATTTCCATATTTTTGCCAAGATGAATCATTTTTCTCCAGAGATGGCTCAGCAAAAATGTAGTTATGGCCTTTGAATTTTTGATCTCCCATCAATTCATAGATTATAGGAAGAGGGTACTATAGATGGATAGCCTCATTTAAGAGTCTTTCATGTGAGATGAGTTTCTATCTATAAAGTCTAGAGATAATGCTACTGATTAAAAGTTATCTGGTCTTGATTCTTGCATATTCTCTTGAATCTTCTCCTGCTTCAATAGGGATCTTCCCAACTAATTTTCTTTTCTTTTTATCATCTCTGCCTTCAACGATCCTGAATACTGAGCTTTATACTCCTTAATCAAACTTTTCTTCCTCAATATAGATGTCAACAATAGTTTCGTTAATTTAAGTTTTGCAAAGTAATTCATGCAACAATTTATGATAGCTATCAATACCTGGCTGAATAGGTTAAAGAATATAATTCAGTCTTCTAGCCAAAAATTTATTCTTCATTTCAATTTTCAGCTCTTCTGGTTTTTTGCCAATATTGATACCATGATTCCATTTGGAAGAAGCCAGAATAGAATTTTTTACAGTCATAAATAGCTATTTGTGATCTATTTTATCTGTAA